ATTTAGCATATCTGGATATGACCATGGATAGTGGCATTCAACATTTAATCATAAATACAACTGTGTAATTTCTGTGCTTTGGAAATATGGATGTTTTATAACACTTCAAGGAAATTAGTTTTCTAAAGATTTTAATTTCCTAAAGAAAGGAAGCAATAAGAAAAATGATGAACTATTAAGTGTAGAATAATAAAATGTATTATACTTCATGGTTCCAGGTAACTTTTGTTTTTCAATTGATTCTAAGAAAATACTACTTGAAGGAACATTCTAATGCACTGTGATGGCATAGCTAAAATTTCCTGCTTGGGGTATAACATCATGTCATGTTAAAGTTTTTGCATTCAATTAAGCAAATTATCTACTAGTTTTCAAAAGATTAACTTTGTTCCTCCTCTTTTAGCCCACCTACATGCCTTTTGAGAGTTTCTCCTACTGCAAAATCATATGGCACACAACCACTGAGAAAATGGAGAACAGACAGACTTGACTTCTTTACAGACATTTGCTTGCCTAAGATGGCACTTACTGGGATACACTTCACTTTCCCCATCTGGTAAGTCCAAGTACATTCTTGAATTCCTTATGACCTAATTTCACTTCAGAAACAACTAAAAATTGAAGTTATAATCCTGGAATTAAAAAAAAAAAAAAAAAAAAAGGTCAAGGTACCAGCCTTTTTGTTACATATCTTGCCTTTAGCACTGAAATGAGTGATAAAGATCTAGTTCTGCAAAACCAAGTGGAAAATTGGTTTATATTATCAGGTGATAAAGCACCTGGAAAAAAACACAAAACTTGCCAGCATTACTAGGTTTCCTGAAAGCTGAAATTCCATTAGACAGCTGAGTAAGATACAGTCTTTGTCACCCTTTCCTTCTTTGCTCCAAATGATGCCTTTGCACTTCCACTATGGTCTGTTGCTGGCTCTACCACTCTCCTTGTGGGTGAATTCACCTGCCTTGACCCTGCATCAAAAGAAAACAAGCACATACTTTGTTGCTATCCTCATTTAACTCTCCAAAGCAAGAAGTAAAAAAGTGTCTAGCTAAGACAAAGAAGTGGTTGGTAGGAACATGTGAACACCTTCAGCAGCAACATGTCAGGTTGACTTACAGCAAGGAAATTCACCACAAATGATTTGTAAGAAATGTTTACACATTAGTGTTGCAAATTCATTCTCTTTGCCCCAGATCAGTAAAGATCCTACTAACTGAATTAAATCTGAAGTAACTCAGTATTTGTTATTATTCTGTCTCTCAACAAAGAGTTGCCACTGGTGGTGAGATTTACGTACCTTTATAAAATAAACTAATCTATCACAATACTCAAAGAGCTGGTCCAATCTTTATACAGAAGTGATGTCTATACAGTTCTGTGAAATGTATAATCAGTCAGACTGCTGCCCTGTTATAGTCCAGACACAAAAGACCTTGATCTAGAGAGCACACAGAGAATAGCATACAACTGCTCTGATTAAGGCATGCCTTTAGAAGCTGTTATTTAATCATATACATGGCAAAGTGCAAACACTTTGCTTTCTAAGGTTAAAAACCCAAACAACCCACCCTCCAAAATCCCCATGTTCCTGAGGTAACAGTAATTCAGTTTCAAATGACAGTCCAGTCACTCCATAGAAATTTCAGGTGGGATGACTTTACAGATCTTTGTCCTGTCTGGTTCATGAAAGTCATGAATATCTTATGATTTAAAATGTCCTAATTTGGATCCTTAGTCATAGACCATGTTGTTCAAGATTAAAGAAACCAGTCATGAATATACTGTTCAAAACATGTTTACGTGTACTGAATATACTTGTGCCTACTGTGAAACATCTTCTTTCTGAACAAGTGAAAAACAAGCTGTTTCAACCTCTTCTAGATGCCATAAATATCTCTCACCTGACACAATCTGAAACTGAGAAAAGAAACAACTCCCCCAGAAATAGATGGACTGATGGATGCCAGCAGATAGAGAAGAGGTGCCAATTTTTTCTTTGACTGAATTTTTCTGCACTATTAAGTATGACTTGGTGTATTTAGTCCTTTGAAGAGCACATGATAGGCACCAATGCCAATGTTACGCACTGCAAATACAGTACCAGTCATCTTCTCATGAACTCTTAAAGTTACTGTTCAAATAAATATTTTAACCAGAAAATAAAAAGACCCACACACCGTGATACACCATCCTAGCACCTGAACACAGATGACAGGCATCATAACAGGATGTAAAGATAAGCAAGTACAACAAAAGGGTTCTAAAAGTAAAAATGAGATTTAAAGGGGGAAGTGTGGACCTTTTTTACCAATGCACATTCACACCAAAAACAAATGTAAAATGACATTTGAGATAAGGCACAAGCAGAATCAAGTTGAAGAAAATTACGGCTGAGAGACTAAGGAAACAATAGGGCCATAATGAGAGCAGACTTAAATATTTGGAGATAAGTAATAAACTATTCCCTGTTAGGAACTTTCAATGAAAGATGACAAATTTTAGCTGTATTTAAAATAAATTTAATTAGCAAAACTATAGCAAAGACCTAACTATCCACCAAAGCACAGACTGTAACTCTGGAACAAAAGCATGAGTTTTACAAACATAAGAAGATACTGCAAACTTAAGGAGGAAAAAAGTAGAAAGACAAATATACTGTGACACAAAACACTACTTTTAACAGAACAATAAAAAATTCAAGAGGACAGCTTAGGGGGTGGGGTACTATATGCTCAACTTCTAAATCAAGCAAGGGTTTGGACTGAAGACATTTAAGAAATTAGAGAATAAGGTGTAGCTCTAAGCACAAGTTTATAATGAAGGGAAGAAAGGGAAGGAGATGGATGTAATGTTATGAAGACAACTGCACTAACACACAGGATTCAGATGAGAAAAAAGTAGTTCCAAAAACAAACAAAAAGCAGGTGGTGGTAGGGAGTTACAATAGGAAACCAGTAAAAGAAAAATTTCAGCAAATATTAGGTAACCAGCCTCTTACCTATTAAAAGTCAAATACTGGTAACTGTGGACAATGTTGCTATTCAGAACATCTGTTCTACTTGTTGCATCATTCTGTGCATCTCAAATGCTCTTATGAAATACTGAGAACTACAGAGCATTCAGATAGAATGCACATTCTGTGGATGTTATTACACCTTTTTCAACAAATCTCCATACTTTCTCATGCTAGCATCCAAATTTTACTTACTATTTCTGCATACTACATTTTGGTATTCACTCATTTCCTTTTCCAAACGTCTTTCACCAAAGGGCTAGAGATATACAAAAGACATGATGAATTACTCCCTTATAGATGATTAATTTTTACAAAACAGCCCTATATTATTCCTAGCATTTTGAGGATGAATAGATGCAGAAAACTTGTCTTTCAATTCTTCAATTTAGTGAGCACCAATAGAAATTTGTCTTTGGACAAAAAATAAAAAATTACTTTAAGTAAGTACTAATATATGATATTATTTTCTAGTTCTGGAAAGACAATACAGCTAACAAATGGACACTGAGGGAAAGAAAAGGAGAGGAACTAAAGGTGCTGTCAGGAACCCATGAGCAACTCTGCCAACACAGCTATGAAACAACATAACCAGGATAAAGGGTACAGTCAGTTTTGCTGCTAGTTAAGGGCAGAAACTTAGCATCCACCTGAGAATAAGAAGAGCATCACAGCCAGCATCCAACACCCTGAGACCAGACAGCACTTCCATTAGTGATTTAAAACTCTGCTCTGATAAGTAAGGGCTAACTCTTGTGATATCCGGGACACTGCTCTCACTCCATTACTTACAACAGAATAACTTGTGTCAGAAAGGACCTCTGGAGACCATATGGGCCAACCTCTGCCCAAAGAAATATCATGACCTCACTGCTCAGTGCCTTGCCCATATAAGATTTGAATATTCCAAGGATGATATTACACACGTCACTATCCAATACAAATTTCCCATGTTGTAACCTCCACCTGCTGCTTCTCATCTAAGAGGACCTAAATCGAGGACCAAGAAAGGCACCTAAGTATTAATTATTAGAATCAAGAACTCAGTTTAGACTGCAGGAACAAAGCAGTAACAGAATGAAACACAATGCTCTGCCATCCACATATTACATACAAAATTCAATTTATAATCATATATAATGAATTTTTGCTGCACTGCCATAAGCAGTCTCCATAAAATGAAGAATAATGCTAAATATTCATTGAGTATTTAGCACATGCAGCAAATGGCTGCAAAGAGCCACAAATGCAGCTCAGACATACAGACCTGACCTGCTCCAGGCAGACCATTCCATGTCTGTACTTTTGTTGTCAAAGTCCCTGTAAATCACTGTATCCATCTTACAGGGTATCAGGAAAAATGCTAAATGGGGAAAAGTAATAAAGTCCATCCAGTCCCAAGCCAGGTTCATGAGGCTACAGAAATTATTAATGGTTAAGAGCAAGACGTGGGATAAGCTGTTCAGTAACTTCTCATAGACTATTATACCCTATAACACAGTCTACCCAGACCTAGGGCTAATAAATAAAGAAAAAAATTATTTAAAGTATCATGAATAATGCAACAGCACACAGGATTATGGGCCTATGACTAAGACTGATTTGTTCAGGGATACAATGATACAATACATCCCTCAGAAATAAGCAAATGTTTACTCAGAAAGCTAAAGTAGCACTTCTAAGTCTGTTAGCAATTTAGAAAGAGGTTAAACATGACCAAGAGAATTCAGCCTTTTTGAAATCAGTTGTTTAGATTGGATTAACAAAACAAACCAAAAAATTTATCATCACTAAAAAGACACCAAGTACAACTGATTTTTTTTTTTTTTGTTTTTGCTTTTCATGGATATATTCTGGCTTGGCACAACAAGATATTCTTACAAGAATGCTATAAATCATTAAGGTACACATGACATGGTCAAGGACTGCCTGCCTACCAGAGAAATGATGTGGCAGCACTATCAGCAAAGACCAATTCCAGACAAAATACTTCAATGCTTTTATTATCCTTGATCTAGAATTACACTGACAGCATACCTCAAACAAAAACCACCATCTGCAGCTTCTCCATTACTACAGTAATAAATTAAAACAAACTTGAGATGATCAGACCTTGACAAACTGTTACTTACTTTTTTTTTCAAAATAAGACCAATTATGTTTTCACACATTTTTATGTGAACTCAAAATAAGCAGATTTGAAGCTAATTTCAACCAAATAGCCTATAAAAAGAAAAAAAAAACACAATAAATTTATTGATGTACAAGATCTTCACCTAGGATATTAACAGAGCTTTATTCTCTGCTCTTGCTTTTCTTTTAAAAGGATGAGAACATTAAAATGAGATAAGCATCAATCTAGAAACACTGAAGAGAAATACTTCTACATCTGATCCACATGAAACATATGATCACTCAAAATGAGGGCTTACTTTCAATTTCATTTCAACACTGTCTTCCTAATGCTTTTTACAGGGAATTGTAATACATGTATCTGTTCTTTTGAAGTCTCAACATACACCTAGTCACCTCATCTCCATGATGTACCAGCACTGAGCAAAAACATTTCCTCCAGAAAATATGATTGCTAGGAGAAAGAAGCAGTTAAAACTACATGTCACACATGAATGTAAGAATTCTTCTAATTCACTAAGAATTAAACTTACTGTTCAGCTAAAAGAAGAAAATACCAAGTCTAAATTACAACAGGAAAAATACACAAAACACTTAAATATAAATGTTATGGGTTTTATCCCAGCTAGAGAAAGCCTTGTTTTCAGTGATCTATTAGCAGAGAAGCAACCATCTCTGCAAAGTGTTTCAAGAGACAGATGACAGACGAAATCTTAGCCTTCTTAAATGCAAAAAGCTTAAAAAATTACACTTCATGGCAAACTAGATTAAAATTAACCTCAAGAGGGTATGGCAACAAGAACAGAATACAGGATTCCTAACAGGAGATAATTTAACATCACATCTTAAAAAAATTAGCAGTGTTACACCAGATTGTCATGGTTTATTCCCAGCTGTCACCTCAGCTCCACACAGCCCCTCACACAACTCTCCCGATGGAATGAAGAAGAGGATCAGAAGAGTAAAAGAGAGAAAATTCATGGTACAGTTTAACAGGTAAAGCAAGAGCAGCACATGCAAACAAAACAAAACAAGGAATTCATTCACCACTCCCCACAGCCAGGAAGGTGTTCAGCCATCTCCCAGAAAAGCCAGGCTCCATCACATGGAACTGTTACTTCAGAAGACAACCACCACCATTCCAAACCCCCTCACTCCTTCTTCCTCCAGCTTTATATACCAGGTGTGATGCCTAAGGTCTTGGATCTCCCTTTGGTCAGCTGGGGTCAGCTGTCCCAGCTTTGTCCCCTCCCAACTCTCTGTGAGGAGCAGAAAGGCCTTGATGCTGTGTAAGCACTGCTCAGTAATAACAAAAACACCCATGTGTTATCAATACTGTTTCCAGGGCAAATCTAAAATACAGTCCCAGACCTGCTATTCTGAAGACAACTAACTTTATGCCACCCAAAACCAGCACACAGGCTTTTTGGGGTTTGGTCTTGGGGTGGTAAGTTTTTTCTTATCTATACAAAACTAAAATATGAAAACTAAATCACACAAAGAATGCTGATGAAAACTTTTGGTAATTCAGGATGTAAACCAAGAAATCAGGGAACAGCAGCTTAGATGAAGCAGTAAAACTATAACTACTTTTTTCTATACAGCTGAGGTTAAATGGTCTGCTATATTGATGCCTTGAGAATGAACCAATTTATGTATGTTCTACAAATTAATTTTCATGCTTAGAAAAGTCTTACATTTACTTACCAAACATTCCACTAGTTTCAAGTATGTAGGAGAAACTTAGGAATTTTATGTATAATATTATGGCTCTATGCATTAAATTAAAAAAAAAAACAAAATGAAACAACCTGACATTATTATCTCATGAAATATGATGAACTAGCTATTTGTGGGAAACCTTCATTCTGGTTACATTATCATAATCAACAAAAACACTGTCCAGAAAGTACAGACAGTAAGAATTTTCAGATCCCCTGTCTAGCTAAGGATCTTACATTTCTTGAACATTTTGAGCAAATAACTAATTTTCCTTGGTTTTGAGGGCATGAGAAATTCAGTACCTGTAACATGCATTTCATGTATTTTTTAACCTATAAATAGTATAGAGTAAAATCAACTTCTGAGATATATGTCTGTCTGTGAGCTGTGACTGTCATATCCTCATAAAATATGATTACACCATGAAACAGAGAAGTACTACAGTGACATTAATGCCAGGGTGTTTTCACCTACCATGTCACTGTACTTACCTTAGAATACAACTGTACAGATGAAGCAATTTACAAATGTTTGATACATAAATTGCAAAGCTTCCCTTTCCTAAGTGTCCCTTTCAAACTGCAGGGCAATTTATCAGCATGCTTTGCACAGCAAAAACGCTCCCATGCACCAATAATTAAAAAGGCATCCCAAGAAAAGCTGCACCATCTTAAAACAGTACAAATTAGTACCTATTCAAATAGATACTGCTACACAGTCCCATTTCAATCTTCAATAATCAGCTCTTTTTTGCCATGCTTTAGCACTGCGTGAATATTACATAAGCCTCAATAAATTTTACCGATATAGCTTACAGTAAAACAGAGTAAAGGAGTCTAAAACCTTTTTCTCTCCCCCACACTTGAAATGTGCTTTCATGTTTAAATATAAAAACTTTGGCATAATTGAAGTATTATTGAGCATTTACAATAATATCTATGATTCTTTTGAGACATGGAAAAAGGTAACAATGAAAACTAAAATACAGTAAGATACTTGAGATGAATAACAGACAATGAAGGAAGATAATATAGTTGGGGAGTCTCTTTTCTGCACATACACATAATTCAATATACTAACAATGCATGCACTAGTGAGATATTTTAAATTCTGTTTCAAATAATTAAAACATAAATTTGCACAATAGGTGTAGAAAACCACAGAAAGATACTTCATTATATACCTGGATTTTCAGCTCTCATGGTATTCAGACTTCCTTGATGAAGTAATTTTTAGGGCCTATTTAAAAATTGTCTACAATTAAAAAAAATTATGCTGGCTCTGCAATTTTCAAAATTCTGATACTGTGACACAAAATGAGTAGTAGATAACAATCTAAATTCTTTTAGTTATATACTCATGTTCTTAACAAGATTTTCTAGTCAACATTTGGTCATTCAGTGTATAAACAAGTCGAGTATAAGGTTATTTCAGCTAGCATTAGTAATAATGCTCATCTGTATAAAATCCTACAAGCCTGAAAATATAAACTGTTACACTGAACTACTTCAACAATACTGAACACAAATATATTTTATTAATACAGCAAGCTGTTAGAAAAAAGGCAAAGTGAACACTTACAAATTCATTTTTTTTTAAGAGAAAAAGAGCAATAAGTTAGTCAGTCTCCATGCTGGCTCATTCTTTGTTATGTGCTAAACAGATTATGTTTGCTATGTCAAAATTGGAAATGCAAGATGGTTTTACAGAATTATATCCACTATTTAAATTGAATTGATTCATCTCAACTGTGGACTTGGAATTGACAGCCTAATTATTTAAAACTTCATTTTTATCACAAATGAAAGAAACTGACTTAGACACAACTGTGAAATTTCAGTGGTTTCAGTAGTTCAGTTTTAAAATATTTAGGGCTTTTTTCAGTCAGCACAAAGCAAGTTGGTGGTGTGCCAACATCATCATAGTTGATATACTACTGATGAGAATAAATAAAAAACAATTCAGATTGCACAGTTTATGAGTGGCAAATACTGTACTGGTAGAATGTTGCTTCACTGCAACATGGACTTATGAGACCAAAATAGAAAGGAAAAGCCCCAAAAAACCAAGAAAACAGCAACAAAAAAAAATTAAACCTGTTAACTGAAATCAAAACACACATGCCAAAATTTTGCCAATTGGCAATACATGTCAAATAGAACTAAAGGACAATCCAAAACATAACTGATTTCAAAAAAATCTCCAGAAAGGTAAGAAGACTAAATAACTACCATTAAAATTGATTATTACATAAATAAACTCTTCTTCTTGAGCTTTACTTCTCTTTTAAAAGTTCCTTAATATGACCCCTTCTTTAAAAAAAACTGCTCAACAGTTATCTAATATATGACATCATTGTCTTAGATTTCCGAAGAAAGACTCTGCTATATGCCATACTACATTAAATATTTTACTAAAATCCACAGTCTTACAACTTTAATAGTTTTTAAAAATCATTAAATGTACAATTTTATTTACATGCAAGTCCATTAAAAAGAACAACCTCCAGAAGAAAATGGCTCTTTAAACAGGCCTATTTAAAACACAGAAAATCACTACATTATTGGAGGTGATGATGTGTTTCAAAAGGGCAAATAACAGATTCTTATTAACTGACTGCAACTGTGTTACTGGCTACTGGAAATACTGAAAGAACTCCATGAGTCTGTATGGTCTCCCCACCTATGTCTTCTCTGCAGAGGTGGTCTTTGAGTGTTTTTGTGGGGAGGTACTACTGAATTCATGACAATAGGGATGGATATTTGATATTCGTATCGTTCCAACATCTGAGCAATCTTCTCACGAGTGACTCCATGCTTATTCCTCCTACAAGAACAAAAAAGTCAATAAATTATCTGGTATGTTTATAGTTACATGTAGTTATAGGTAAGTAAATATATATATGTAAAATTGCATGTTACAATCTCTAAGAAAAAACCCTCTAAATTCTCAATTGTTTCTTCTTGCTTTTATTACACTATATCCTCATTCTCAAGGTATTCAACTTACATTAAGGTTTATTTTAACAATTCACAGCTGTATATATTGGGTAACAGTAAACAATATATTATTCTTCTTCATACACAAATGTGAAGTAATTCACTATAACTATGCATCTGAATTACCCTAGAAGAAATTTACTATTTATTCAGCAGATTTTACATGGTATACTATCTAAGGAGTAGACTTTTCCTTATGAAAGAAATGTTCAAATTAGCATAAAATATGCAATTACACTGTTTCAAGACTTGACAGAATATTTTCTCATCAAGAAATCTCTCTACAGAGTAAGAAGCGACTTTAGTTCTGAACCAGGACAACACACTCAAAATGCTTTTATCTACTAGTTGTAACTCACACTTGCTGTAAATTCAGAAATGGAGTGAAACACACGTAAGGGAAAAGGTACCAAAAGTGCTGTCCTATTCTTGCAGTGCTCAGTGACCAGCTACTTTCAGGGAGAACTTGGTCTATTAAGAACCTGAGCACAATACATTAAAGTATATATATAATCACTTCAGTACTTATGGAATAGGACCTTAAAATCCATGTTAGCAGAGAATTTTAGTCTCTGCCAGAAGAAAACCACAAGCCTCATGCACAAACTGAATGTCAGAGAATTGACAGGAATTAATCTAAAAGAAGAGACATAAAACAGAAACAAAAGGTTTTGATGCATAAATAAGATTTATTATAACCCAATACTTCTTATTGCCAAGAAAACTTGTCCACGCTAAATTATGTCCACAACAAACCAGCAGGGAATAATTTCTGCATCTGTGTGCTTTCTGCCAGGGACAGAAGAGGTATGGACCTTAACAACTTGATCAGTTCTACACAGGAGAAATCAACAGTGGGAATAAACAGGCTATACTGGAAAGACAATATTCCAAACAAATATTTTAGAAGACTGATTCCTCACCGCCCAGTCCCATCAGGACTTTATTACAACAAAGAAGTAAGTATCAAGTTGACAAGGGCTCAAAGCACACTGCAGGCAGCACACTAGTTTCACATTCAGAATAGAAGCAGAATTGATGATCTCAGAACTATTCAAAATTGGCTTCTTAAAGGTGTATTTTATCAGCTTTCTTTCTACCAAGAAAGTGCTTAAGCAGAGCATTTCCCTCACAAACACTCTTCCCTGAGACAACAATAGAAGCTGGAGTGATCATTGCATGTGCCTCATTGTTTAAATGCTTTTAATTTCTATATTGTGCTAAAGCAGCCCAGGAGCAGCTGCATGATGAACTAATGACTTGGTGAGTTTTAGCAGTTTTGATTTTATTCACAAGGTTAATGACAGAGAAAAAAGTCAGCCCTCTAGAAATATGTGGATTTTATAAAGCATTTGGCATTTTTGACAGACAAAAAAATTAGAAGAGCAAGTCTAGGTTTTTTAATGTGAAATGTTGGAAGCAGAAAGTTATTCAATATTTTCCTATCAATATTCAATATTTTGCTATCTTAGTACTCCTAGAAAAAAATTACAGCTCAATTGCACTGGCCATCAAGTGCACAGACATCCACAATTGAATGGACTTGTGCATAATCACTTCATAAAAGAGGAAGGACTTTAGTACTTTTCCTTGCAGAATAAGGCAGGATAATAAAATCACCAGCAGCAAAAGTGCATCAAGCATAGAAACTGATTTAAAAAAGGAAATAAATTTGCTGTATAGTGTCATTTAATACTGGTATCGCCTCTTCAGGCATGTCTTCACTCATTCTTTGGCAGCTTGGCTATGCTGAGAGAGCATAAAGTCATCTATCCAAACCAAAGCAGACATACCAGCAAAAACTCCTAGGATAGATGGGAGGAGGAAGACTGTTTTGCATGGAGAAACACAGAACCTATTGATAAAAGCAAAGTTCTGCCACTATGAAATGCTTCCATACTATCCTTCACCACTGCACCCTCAGCAAGCTTGCTGATGGAACAAAACTGAGGAGCCCTCTCCCAAAGTAACTAAAGAACAAAATGAAAACTTACATAACCACCTTTCTTAAACTCCCAAAAAAGAAAGTTTCCAGGCAGTGGGCCTCTGTTTAAATATCTAAAGCAACCAGAACTGCTAAAATATTTCTAGGAATCTTCCAAAAACTGGTAACAGCACTAAACAGTTCAAGGCTTTTGCTCTGGGAAAGATATCAACTTTACTCCTACAATTAATAATTGAACAATAAAATTCATCAGTAACAACATAACAGTTTATCCTGTTGCTTGTTAAGATCATCTGGAAGCATGAATTTTCCTGGAAAATTAGTCTTGTTTGTGTAATGGAAATCTTAAGTGCCTGATTACTAAGATTCCTAACTTGGCTGTGATGCACGCCAAACAAGAAAAACTTACTATCATTCTACAGAGAGAGAACTTCGTCTCTCAAAACAAGTGAGTTGTAGCTTACGAGCAAAAGGTGAAAACTTTAGAACATTTATAAACCAAATAAAGTACAAGTCAGCAATGTAAGCATTATACATATATATATATAAATACACATATTTTGTGCACTGTAGGTGCTACTTTACAAAGCTGAAACAATTAGAGGCAAAGTCAGCTGGATGTATATAAAACAAAAATCAGTGAGAGAACTCTGTCATCAACTATGGAAATATTACACTACTTTTCAAACTAAGAAATATCCTTGAGCTTGTTTGATACCTCCTAGATTCCTAAAGCAGATATATCTGAGACAAAAAGGACATTAACCAGGAAGAATAATCAGCTGCCCAAGCACTCTCAGAACCCAGAAGTTAAATGATCCATGTTCAGCAGTACTCTAAGTCACACCTACACATGTCCAATAAAATTTTACTATTGCCATTTTCAGCCAACAAGATGGAGCTGGTCTACTTGTTTATCCATTAAACCTCCATGTAAAGGTATAACTCAAAATGCCTATTTAAATAAAATATATTCCATACTACTAATAAAGAACTTGAGAAAATATTTTGAATAAAATATAACTTATTGCATATATATTTATGCATTCATGTTTATCTGCCTATCTATCTCTGTATATAATAAAGTACCATGATTTCTGTACGAGAAACCTTACTTTTCTAGTTCTTCAGGATCAAACTTCCACCAAGTATCTGGCTCATGGAATTCCACTCTGTATCCTTTTTCTAGAGCCTGCAGCAAGCAAAGAAATATGTGTGATGTGTACCATGATCACATAAAACATCAGAAAAAAAAAATAAAAGACAAATATAATAAACAGATGCAGCAGCATACTCTGCTGTGGTACTACGCTGAATTTTACTTATACCCAGCCTGTCTTAGCTTTTGTCTCAGGCTAACCAAATTAAATCAAGTCAGTTCTTGAACTGATCTAAACCATTGGCACACCAATTACTAACCATTATCAATAAGCAGTCTCTCTCCTTAAAAACTTGAGTAAAAATGTTTCTGGACAAAATGTATCAACTTATCCCATGCAGCCAGCAACAATCATGCAACAAAACCTACCACTTCCACGTAAGGCTTCATTTCCCAGGCTTGAGTATTAGTGTTGTCTATTATAACTGGAGATTTTCCCTGCTCCATTGCTTGCTTTGCTGAAAAGAAAAATTGTGCAAGTTAATAAACCACATCTAGCTCGAACAAAACAAAAAAACTGCCCCAGATTTTCTTTCACTAATCTACTCTGACTGAAACACTCTGTTCTGAGAGAAAGAATAAAAGGTACAGGCAGGAATGAAAACAAGCAGAAACAAGAACGTGATGCCCAAAGAAACAAGGTTATCTATTTTTAACTCTGAAACCTGCAGAAATTCAAAATTTAATGTTTATATATACATGAATTAAAGTATAAAAAACACTTTAAATACTTTTATATATGCTTTGCTAAAATATATTTACTGCTTTTCATATAGACTCTTAATACTCATATATGTTATGCTACACTTCTATTTCCTCTATGTAGCACAGCTTAATAGGATGCCTTTAATTCATTCCAACCTCTCTTCCGGTTCCACTCATGGGCATCACCAAGCTGAGCAGCATTATAGGTGTATCCATACTGCTGATGAAAATAATCATCAGTGCTGAGCACAATGCCATCACAACTCTGACCAAGCAGAACACTGTTAAAGGAAAACACAAAAACATATTCACTTTTAATTTTAAACAAACATTAAAGAAATAAAAGAAATTGAACTGTGACCTATTTCTGAACTTCAAACAGATTTATAAAAAGCACACCTATATATATTACCAATAATCCTAATGCAAATCAAAGCAGTATTTCCTCTCTACTATTTCTGTATTTGTTGTTTCTTCTCCACTCCCAAGAGATGTTGGCATCCATCTAATTTTACAGCCATACTACAGTAAGTACCTCGTAATAATTCAATGTATTTGCTAACATTTTCCATCTCAAGCCTCACTTGCAAATATGTCTAGAAAGCAATCTGATCATGAGAACTCCCCATTCTGCCAAATGTGAATTTAGTTTCAGAAAGTCCTTGGAAATTGGTGTTTAAATGAAAACCTTATATAACTGAGACAACAATACAATTCTTAAAGTCCAGCCTACAAAATAGGTGTACACTGGACTTTAGGCCTCCTTGTCTCTTTTTAATTCTATGGCATATTTAAATCTGAAAACAGAAAACAGCCCGTTAGCGCCACAGAGCATGTAAAGCCCACTGCAACACTCAGATATCAGTGGAAATTTAGGCAACTATTCCAGCTCAGAAGTAGGCAACATACCCACAGGCTACAAAATCCAAACTGCACTATGTGGGACTGCAGTACTGCTGAGGTGGCAGGAACAAAAAAATAATTGGCCAGATCCCAAATAACTTAGGGGAACAAAGATATGCTAGTTCTATGTTACCAAGCTTTCCCATACAGATCTGCAGGAAGAGCCATTTAAATGTAATTCCTACACAAGGAATTTGCTAGGTTTTGCCACCTGTCACCAACAACAAACCATTATGATTGCTTCAGGACAAACAGCAAAGCTATTTGAAAAAGCAGAGCATGACACACCTAAAGTTCAGCCACTTCACTTGAACACTGATAAATAATTGGTTTAGTTAGAGCCTAGATATTTCAATAGGGTGTGTATTACACTGCTTTAGAAGAGTGCAGAAGGGTTAGTCATCTATTTTTGTTCTAAATAGATTAAATGGCACCAGTAAATCATACACCACACACAGCAGCAATTTTTTATCCCTCTTCTTTTGTACAAAATATTTAACAAATTTATATTTAAATTATTTGGCTGTGATTTCACACATGGCTCAATTCTCTTATTTACAGTATGCTACATTTGCCAATTAATAATGCAAGAAAAACTGGATCTATCTTCAACACTCACTCCTTGTGTGCTGAATGTATATACACATATCCTAAAGAACCATCTGCCTTAATAAAAAAAGATAGCAAATAACATCTGGGATTCTTCTACTGGCTGAGTGGATGGACACACCACTACAATTCCTAGGGGCCTGAGCATCAGGTTTCTATAGGAATATATGAACTGACAAATCAGCACTAATGAGACACTAATTTTTATTTCTAAGAACTGACTCTATTTGCTCATACTCTGGAGAAAAACTCACTTAGTTGAAGTCTTTTGCTGTATCTTCCAAACATCATTAATAGCAATAGAAATAGAAATAGAGTGACAAGGGTTCACAAATCTTGCAAACCCATAAACAAAGCGTGTTCTTGAAATTGTTTGTGAGTATTCCTTGAAGTTCAGAATACACCACACAATTATTAATGAACCAATATAATTGAAATATAGTAAACTGTATTTGCAATAATCCAAAACCCATAGATTTTGAGAAGGCAAAGTAGTTACTAAAGAGTAACAGAGCCCTTACCCAATACACAACACACAAGCTATCACGTCATGTGTTTATGAACTCAAACTTCAAATACTATAGTAATGACTGGAATCTCTTTCTAAATTGTGAAATTAAATCATAAAACATAACATTTTAAAAGCCTGACAATTACCTCTTTGAATTCCTAGTATTTAAACTTTTAAAATTCAAAGTGGAAAACTATTGGTTGACATCATATGGAATAGTTCATTTACCTCTAACACGTATTTGGAAATAAAATTTATGCCAGGCCCTGAACTAGAGAACAGAAGAACAAAAAGCATATCTATAGAAAGAAACATTATTATCTGAACCCACAGAGATGATATTCCACTTTTAAGAGAATAAAAAAAAAAAATATATAAATGTATTTCTAGTAAGAGTCAAATTCCAGGTGAGTCAATATACGCACATGCTCGCTATGAGTAGCATATTATCCAACTGCCGTAATACATCTTTCTCACCCTAAACCTTCCCTCCAAGCAACCACCACCTTTGAACACAGTGGGACACTGAAATTAAAGCAGCTCACCTACTTTTTCCACAAATGCTACCTGATCTAATAGAAGCTATTATCCTCACATATAAAAATCTCATGTTAAAACCAAAATATTAACTGCTCAGCGAACCAATACACATTTTTTCCAATGCATGTGTGCATGCATGCATACACACAAATCCTTTTAAAACATCCCCAGATATGTATCCTAGTTAGCCTACTCTAACAAATGATCTCATAATTCAAAAGATACCTCAGAATCTAGTAATTCACCTATTTAAAATAGCTACCATATTGTGGATGAAGAAAAAAGTAGGCAATAACTAAATATAGTTTCAAAATACACAGCATTACTGAGCTGTGTAAACATTCCTCTAAAAGCATTGTTCATAATACTGTTTAAATAGATACATAAGTAGAAACAACAGCACACCACTGCTTCTACATCCAGCTATAAACATTAACTTTTCCCTTCAGAAGATTTTCCTCTAAGGAAAAACGACCTCAGAGAAAGACAACTGTCTTTATATAATTATTGGATTTAACTAAAAATGGACTTCTTAAATAACACCAACATGTGCTCTTTCAACTTCATTAAGCTCTGTTTTAGTCAAATTAATGCTTAGTTATTCATGGAAAAAAGGCAATTTGCAACTGTTGCCAACTTCAGTAGCAAAATACTTTAAAAATACAAGTCTCTTTTCCTGTAACTTGTACCAGGACTATAAGATCATATTACCATCTACTTCTAATTGTACTAGATTTTGGTTACTTGAGCTAAAGCTATTGCTACTGGGTATCTGTCTGTCTAAACTGCTTTCAAACATTTTTAATTAAATGCTCAATCTCTTCCAAAACCAAGAAAAAAAAAAAAAGCATTTGTACAGTATTTTGTTATTCCAAGCTTTTCTCTGAGAAGCTTGGAATTGAGGAAGTGAAATCAGACAAAGTACATGTGTTTGTCTGACCTGCAAAAAATTTTTGTACATCTGCCCAAGGTATACAATTTTAAAATGTCATGTGCACAGCAAATAGTAGTGAAAAGAGCTCATGATTCTCATGGCAAACCCAGTCCTGAACAGAGCTGTCTGGCAGTGGCAGGAAGCTGATTCAGGACCAATACTTCATTATAATGAACACATTTCTCCCAACACACGAATGGCAACAGAAGGAACAAAACTGGCCTAAAATAGGAGGACACAGGAAGCATCATGGTATAAACACTGCAACAAGCAACTTGGTACTGGCAGTAGAGCTAGGAAACAGGGCCAAGGCAGAGTGAAGCAGAGGGAAGACATTGGTATAATGAAGCTGGGAGGGAGATAATACCACTGACTGAAACAGGGAGAAAATTAATGTGGGAAGAAAATGAATAGAGACAAAACTGAAGAAATCAACTTAGTATTTAGAAGCAGATATGGAGTTAGTGAGCACAGACCAAAAGCCATGATTGGATATGAACAGGAAAACAGGAATTGAAATGGTTAAGAAACAGATTTCGTATGAGCCTCAGCAACTAGAATTGTCTAAGTCAGGGGGACGCAGGAAATAAATGCATGAGATGAGGGGAGCTCCCCAGTGAGCCAGAAATGGCTGACGTTATGCTCATATTTAAAGCAAGTAAAGACAAAGACCCAAAGAACTAATGGCTGCTCAACCTCACCTAAGCTCTGTCCTGGAAACAATGGAGTGCATCCTTGGAATCTATTTCCAAATATGTTACGAAAATTAGATAACCAGGAAAAGCCAGTGTGGGGTTTGCAACAGACAAACCATTCTTTACTGACCAGAATGCACTCTGATGAAACAAGTGCATTTGTCAATGAGGACCAAGTGAAGAACACAGCATACTCAGAAATTACCAAATCTTCCAAAATCATCTTCTACCCAGTAACAAGTAGAGAACAACTAAGGACATAGCAAAATCACTTTTTCAGTATCTTCACCATAAATCTGGACAATGAGGCAGAGAACTTGCAGATGACACCAAATTAGGAGTGATGCTCAACACTGAGCTGAACAGTGAGGATTTATCCAGAAGGCCAGAGACAAACCTGAGAACTGGGCTAAGCAAAACACCAGCAAGCTCAACAGAGAAAGAGTAAAGTTCTACAGCTGATGAAACCTAAGCCTCAGCACAGGCAGGAAAGTGAGTGGTTGAGCAGCTCTGTTGAAAAGAGTCTGAGGATTACAGTGGATATCAAATGAGATGAGTGAATGGTGTACTTTTGTCAAAGGCAGGGAAAATCACAACTTTGGCTTCAGTAGAGGAAGCGTGGCCAGTAGATCACCTGAGAAGGTATTACCCAGACTTTACCTGGCTCTTGTGTGGTCAATTCTGATATACTGTGTCCAGTGTGGGATTTCCCAGTTCAAAAGACATGCTGAAAAACATGGGAGGGCTGAACAGATGGCTACCAAGATGGCTACAGGCATACAACCTCCAAGGAGAGGTTAATCGCAGCTGGGCTTGTTTAGTCTGGCAGTGGAGACATTGAAAGGTCTGATGTAAACCTATTACAGTGAATAAACCTCTCCTTTACTAGAAGGGAAGCTGCAAAGAAGATGAGCCATATTCTACCATGTAACAACACGTTATTACACAGAACATGCAAATTATGGCTTGAGAACTTCAGCTTGGAGATTAGGAACAACTTCCTTACTTAGGTGGTTTGTACTGCACTAGAGAAGTTTGGTGAGACCACAGAAATCTCTGTGGTGTTTTTTAGCTCAGGCCTGACAATGATATATCTGACTTGATCCAGTGATGGTGACAGACTTTCTCCAAGCAGAACAATGAACTAGTTCACATCCACTACTCTCTTCCAAAAAAAAATATGCTCGTAATTCCAACTGCTTAGCTGGAATGGAAGAGTCAAAACCAAAACCAAACTTCAGTGGGAGATTTGAGACAGATACAAGTCAAGTTTGTGAGCAGGAAAAGTGTCTGTACTTAAGCACCCTTACTCAGCACAAAACACAAACAGAAATTTGATATTCCAAGGTCTCGCTACTGGCTTTGCCATCATTTCCCACGTGGGGAAACCCCCTTGCAAGATACACCCTTGTTCTCCTCTAGTGCTGATCCACACAGACAATGGCAGTTTTCTGCTTTTCCTTCAGTTATTTTGCTGGCAAAATGGTAAAGGTTTGTCTGCAGCTGCCAAAAATGCAAATATCTGCAACGATACCTGTGGATATGGCATCAGATATAACATCATTGCTGTCCTACGTTACCCCGCAGAATTCTGTGATGTTACACAGAAAAACATGCTCAAAAGATGTTTATTAAGACTTAACTAATAATAAAGTTATCTTCTCTATTGGCACCCATTAATTCTGGGATGTTTTTCCCCTAAGATATCAAAGACCTATGATTTCATGGGAATTAACAATTAGAACCAAGCATTAAACATATGAAACTGCCTGTAATTGAATACACTGAAAAACAAGACCCATGCTGTTCAAATTCTGCACTCACTTTTGGTAACTATTCTTAACCTTGATCTCATAGTGCCCACTTTCCCATCTGCTAAACAAAATTAGTAACTGATCTCACTAATGAGAGACGAAACAAAGTACAAATATGTGTTATTAAAAACCTGAAGATATTTAGAGTTTTTCAGATCATATGAGTCATATATTTGGAAAAAGATTTAGAGACAATTTAGCACACCAAACATGGAAAACAAATATATTTCGTATCTTCATATTAAGTATTATCCAATCTCTAAACTGAATGAGGCAGCATTTTCTCCACAGCGTTATTTTAAAAATGTTTTATGTTGACTTCACACATTAAAGGAATTATTGTAGTAATACCAAATGGGGACATGCAGCTTCAAAAATGCAGACTTGCAAAATACAGAAATCAGTTACTATAAAAGATTGTAACAAAAACTACTGAAACATGTAAGAAAAATACCTGTTAGAGATTTCTAGCTGTAATATGGAGATGACTGTCTCCTAAATACCAGAAAAAAATCCACTAATACGATGTTACACCTTTGTATTAAAAAAACCAAGTAAGAACATGTTGACTGTATCTATACCACAGACTTCTTGCATACAGAGACATCCTATCTGTAATGTAGTTTCTGGATGAAACTCAGTAAGTACTGATTCAGCAACTTTTTTTTATATACACAAGAGAAACTTACTTTCACTTAATAGAGGTAGCATTTGTGCTCTGTCCACTTCTTGTGCTTTTTAAAATGAGTCAAAAAAACACAAAGGGAAAATCCAAGTTGGAGGTACTACCTGTTTTTAACCTGGTCAGACTTCAACAAGTATATTTGGAAGAAAAAATAATGCTTTTATCTGCATTGTTCACAAATAAGGAAGAACAACTGACAGACCATACTATGAAAAAAGAGGATGAGATAATGCTCAGTTTCTTCAATAGAACAAAACCAAGTATTTTCAGAGTAGTAGCATTCTTCTAATGGCCTTTTAAAATTTTTGCATGGGCGTGAAAAAGGACTCCTGGTTCAGTCAAATTGATATTGCTAGATTTGATGGAGGTGTTTTTTTTACATTAGGAAATTTAAGAATTAAAAAAAGCACATACTAGTATGAAAATTTCAGAATAAAAGACTATGCAATTTAATAGATGCTCAACATTTTAAATTCAACAGAGGAGCTCCTGTACATCAAAACGCTGAGGGAGATAAAACCACCAAGTAAATATTTTTAATATTTACTGTCACTTGCACAATTTAAGTACAAATGACAGCTTTAAACTACTGCATTTTAAAGAGTCTAATTTACAAACTAAAAAAGTTTCCTTGTTGCTTACAGATATATTTAAATTCTTTAAAAAATTTACTTGAATGAACTTCTCAAGCTTTAAGTCTTCACTTACCGAGAAAGTGTTGATTTCCCTGAACCTGGTAGGCCTCTTAAGATTACAAGCAATTTCTGTGAACAACTGAATTTTTCTTCAGATAACTGCAATGAAGAAAAGTTGTGCATTCCTTCTGTACTGTCAGCTTTTGGATCATTCCAACACTCTTCTCTGGTTTCACAGAAACCATTACTTTGGGGTCCATTCTGATCATTATTCCCATTCCTGAAGACCTGAGTAGTATGGATGTCAGTATGACCAGAATAGTGGGTATTTGGATCAAGCAATGGACCATGACTGTTGATATCAGTATTTGCACGGTAACTTTCATAAGTCCGTCCCCCATTCTGACAAGGGATTTGTGGTGCGGCATCAAATATCTGGAAATGGGATTGATGGTTGAATCTAGGAGGAAAACATCCCTGAGGTTTTTTGAAAAATGCTCTAGCCTGCCAAGCAGGTCTGAATTCAGGCACTGAGCAGTTCCAAGTATCTATTTGGCCATTATAGGTATTTTCAGTTTTCCAGCCACCTGTTTCCACAACTAACTGCTGCTCATTGTTTGTTTTCTGACTGTTCTGTTCCCCCAAAGAACACTGTCCATTCTCGTAAAATGGGTGTGGACTACCCAAAAGTACAGGCTGATAATTCTCTTGTGAGCTCTGACTAGAGTTAAATGAAGAGTGCTGTTCCTCAGAAATTTCAGTTTCTTTTCCTTGAACATTAGTATCTAAATTTTCATTTTCCAGCTGGTGAATTTCTTTATAGAACTGATCCAGTTGATCATCTATTTCTGGTACAGTGGCAGAAACAGCCTGCATCTTCTTCACCTCCTTTCTTTTACATCTGTTTTCATTTAATTCATTTTCATCTCCTCCAGTGTTACTACATTCATTACAATTGCCAGATTTGTCCTGCTTGTTACTTTTGGGAGGCTTGTAAATTGGTCCTATAAAATCTTTGCTCGTGAAAAAGTCTTCATCCAATTGATTTCTATTTACTGAGAATGATGCACTGCTTTTTTCAACATTATCTTCACCAGCACTATGTGTAATAAAAAGGTCCTTCTCTTCTTCAACTTTAGAGTCATTCATTGATGTAAATGGAGGATTTATATTCTGCGCAGTTTCTAAATTAATTGGCTGACAAAGCACTGGATTATTTTCAGGGAGAACTTTGCTCAAAGATCCCAAGACACCCGTAGGTATTTTCTTTTGCTTCTGCATTTCACGTTGTCCTTGGTTGTCTAAGGCACATGTAGGTATCCAACCATTTGATTTTCTCTCAACATCCACTTTCTTCTGAGTACCTTCGTTATCATCAGCAGGGAGTTTCTCAGAAGCCCCTTCTGTTGACTTCATTCTTTTAGAATATGGTTCAATTCCGATTTCACCCTGACACTCCAAGAGCCTTACTGTATTTTCTGCATGAAGCATCTTAGAAAGAAAGAATGAATATATTATCAGCATGTACATTTTTAAAGTATTAAAAAGCTGAAGTTACTCAGGCCTATGACATCACACTCTCCATGGTCACAACTGGAATGTACTCACCCAGAAGAAAAACAGGTATCACCTACCACAAATATGGTTTAAACTAGACTGCTACATTACTTATTGCTTATCTTTGGTAAAAAATTACATTAGTGCTGTATCAGTTGAGCAGTCACAATTTATGATATGCATTAAATAATTTACAAATGCTTTTAAAATGTGACTATTTGAAAATTACAGCAACAATCTCTGACCAATATTACTACTGTTCTCTACTTGCTGTTATTCTGCCAAATGTTTGAAATCTCTTTTAAAGATAAGCATATGCCGATTTCCAATGCACAAACTGATGCCTAACATCACTACTAATATGACCAATAAAAATGCAAATAGTTCCACCATGAGGGCTGCTTTCTGTGACATGAACCAAACTCAACTAATTCATTTAACACCAATCAAACAGGTGCTGGGTGGCATTTGTAATTTAGAACTAGTCAAGTAAGACTTAAAATCAAAGCTGCAATCTGTTATCATGGTTTTGGAACTACTGAAGACTTTTGTTAGGGACCAAAATCACTTGCTTGCATGCCTTCTAACATTCAACACATACACACACACAAAAAAAGTCCCCGTCCCAAAGAGACTGCATTCTAAGAACTAAACCACTATGTTCTAGACAGGTGCAAAGACAAGCTATTACAAAGCAAGATGGCACTAACCACTATGAGATGCCATCTATTAGTCTGAATTTCTTGGATTTTGAAGTCTACAGAGTATGCAATAAAGAGCAAACTCTTCCCCTCCAAATAAGTGCAGTTATAAACATAAAAGAACATCACTCTCCTACTGGAAGGTTTATTCTACTGTTCTCTGAAACATTTCAACTTTCCATGACAAATATTACGAAGTGTCACATGCTGTTCATCCTGGACAATTTTTTTCTCTATCTGAAAAGGACCTGTAGGTAGTACTCTGTGAAGATTTATATGTAATCATTATCTGACATGTTCACTTGCAAAACTGAGAAGAAAAGGTGTTACTCTAGGCACTTTCTCACCTACCATCCAAAGGAAGAGAAGCCTGCCATTCTCAATCTCAAACTGGCTAAACCAAGGAGATGTTACAGTCCACACTTGCCTTTAGTACCTGGAAGAAAGCATTACTGTCAGAAGGGGAAGAAACATGGCCATGCAAGTCTCTCTCTTCCTCAGAACTGATACCATGTTCTCTCTTCCTCTCAAGATTTATGTGCTGTATCCATACCTCCAGCTTCTTCGCTCTTCATTTTTGCGCATTAGAAAGCAAGTATGACATTACTAGTAATCATTGACTAATCATTGAGTCTATCCCCATCTACTTCCTCTGCCTCCACTCAAAACAGTATTGGGGTAAAAAAAAAGTTACTTTATTAGCTTCTATGTCCTCATCTTCTGGGATGGTGTTTAAGCAGACCCCATTTCCTGATGTGGAATTAAAACAGCAAACGTGAACACTTGCTGCCTGACAAAATCTCCACTGACAAAAAACGCTGCTCTGTGACTGTCCCACATAGGAATATCATTTCTTGCTAATTTCTGACACACTTTCCCTCACTAACCTTGAAGAGAGTGAAGCTGCATGCAAAAGCATATCTGCCTGCGTCCTTGGTGAGGACAGAGCAAGTATGCTAAAGGAAAATGCAGTCTGACACTCTCACCTCCTGAATGGGGCAAATTCAGGTCTATATAATTTCTATACAGAACTGCTTGTAAGCATTGAGCCTGAGCCAACACACGGGGATGCCAGACTTATTTACGACTTTAATTAACCTGTGAAACTCCCAGAAGATTCAATCAACTAACTCAAGGCCTTGAACTCCACCTGTATAATACCTTTCCCAAGCGGAAAATTAAGGCCTATTTGGCAGAACCTACAGACAGGGGAGCTGGCTGGCTTTCCCTGCACGGCGAGTCCGGCGGTCAGGAGGCGCAAGCCCCAGCGCCCCTCACACGGCCCAGGACACGCGTGGGAGGGAGCCGGGGAAGCAGGCGCTGCTCCCACACAGGGCTGACAGCGGCGTGTCCGGGGCGAAGGCGCAGCCGCCGGCCTCACGGCGCGGGGAAGTGGATCAGCCGCCCCGTCCCTCCTTTCCCCGCGGTGCAAAGCCCGCTCCTTTCCCCCACACACAAACACGTCCCTCAGCGCGGCGCCCACGTCAAACAACCTCAGCAGCCGCCGGCTCCTACGCGCTGACACCGCCATCCCCACGCTGCCCCTTCCCCGCCCGCTGGTGGCAGCAGCGCTGGTGACGGAGGAGGAGCGGCTTCCCTTCGCGGCCCGGCCGAGCAGCAGCCGGCGCCGCCAGCCGCGGGGGAGAACGCGAACCTCAAGGCAGCGGCTGCCGGCCGCGGGAGAGGCAGCGCCTCCGACCCCCACGCCCAAGATGGCGCCGCCTCCCCCCGGCCCGCCCCGTCCCCCGCGAGGGGCGGAGCCTTTCCCGCCGCGCCGCGCGCTCTGCCCGGCGGGAGGGCCCGGCGGCGGGACGTGGGATCTGTCCTGGTGTCCCTGCCGGCGCCGCGTGCCTGGGCGTTTGCCGTGGGTGCCGTTCTGCTCTTTGTCACGGGCCATGAACTGGGCTCCGGTGAGGATTGTCCCTAGTGTAAAAGCAGCCCAAGTTTCTTAGACGTGTGTTGTACTTAACGTGGTTTTAATATGATGTAACTACTTTCCCCCCCCCCCCCCAATCTTATGATACTATGCAAGCCAAACCATATTTTTTTCATATAAAAAACCTCAGTCTGGTAACAATAATTCTCCAAATTTAATTAATGCACACAAGAGCTCCAGTAGTGATGTGCCCATTCCAAATACCTGCAACGTTTATTCTTTCACATCACCCAAATGGATTATGAAAGTTTTAGAGTATGTGATTCATAAAGTCACTGAAATTAGTTTATTTGCTATAAATGGTAGAAAGATAACTCGTCAAATCCACTGGCCAGGCATTTCTTCAAGTCAACCCTGCAACCAAAGCATAGTCTCCTTTCCTGTGCCAGGTGATGGCCTTGTGTTTTTGGAAGATACAGATGTATCTTTGGTAGCATTTTAATCTAGATCAGAAGTGAGCTGTTGAAGTGAATCTCCCAGTTTGCCACTATTTTTCATCTGTAGTAGTAATTACGTGCTTTCCTACACAGGCTAAGTCATGTAACACCCAAGCTAACCATTAAGAGAAAGACACATGGACATTTTGAAGGTAATATCTGGAGATCAGTGCTCTCAAGCATTCACCTTGTGTATGTAGTAATTGTCTCAGATGCATTTAATTTGGGGAGTTCTCCCATCACTTGTACCTAATTAAATAAGCCACGTGTTACAACTGGCACTACCCTAATGTCATTTTTTCAACCTCATTGAGTATAACGAAATAGACTTTCCCTGACAATCCTGTTACAGCTGCTACAGCTCCTATGTGGGAATCATGTAGCACATGGGAAGTCTCTTGCTTGAGACAAAGCTGCAAATAATTCCCCCATATTCCTTGTCCTGCACTAGATCATAAAAACAGTTCCATTGTTAGGAGAAGCTGTTAGGGTAGGAAAAAGCAGTATCCAAGAAGTTGAACACTGTTACGGTGAAAATATTTACGAAGAAGCATTAATAGACCACATTTTTTCTTTGTTTTCAGAGGAGTCTGAATTTTAAAATTTTATTTTTACATACATTTATAAAGTTACTCAATGCTACTATGTACCACTACTAAGTGTCACCCAAACCATGCTTCCTGTAACATGCATCTATGATTGTAATGGAAGTGTCTCACAGAGGTAAAAAATCTTAGAGTGAGGTAATGTTGTTGCATAGATAACAAGATATTAAAAATTATCTGTTCCTGTGTTCCTAGACATTTATTACATCACCTTCATATTAGTTGATGAATTGTAGGCTTTAACTGACCTAAGAGAAGAGTGAAAGGAAAATTTTCAACCTTATGTAATCAGATTTTGATTTGGTTTTCTAAGTGACTTTAAGTTTGAGTTGATTTGAACCTTACAGATCACATCAATTTATATGCATATGGAAGTGAGTAATGTTCTTTTTTTAAAAAAAAAAAAAGAGTTTTGATGTTACGGAACTTGAGTGTTTGAACTTGCAAATGGAGCATTTTCTTTGAGTAGTTTTTGCATTTGATTTGATTTTGCATTTGATATTGATTTGCAACTGACCACTTTGAAGGATCATCCTGATTCCTTTATGGTTCACTGGTACAGTTGATGCTTTAAATGCAGTGCAGAGATCTCTGATACTTGTACCAAACAAAGTTGTTGCACTGCTTTCTTCTGCACGGGCCCAGTTTCAGGTTCAGTAGGACAAAAAGTTTTAAGGTGCAATTTCAAATTACAGGTAAAGCACACTAAAATTAACCTATTGCCAGTCAAAGTGCTTCTGCTACTCTTTTCTGCCCATGGCGTGTCCTAATTGCTGTCCTGCCTCCTCTAAACTGGTGGCTTTTGTTCTTATTTGAGAACTGGGTACTTTTAATAAAAACATCATGCTATTCTTTTGTGTATGGAAAGGTTTCCATTAAATTTGCTTCCATAAACATTTTAGATAAAACTTTCCAAAATAACTCAGCATGAAGAAGGTAGCTGGCATAAAAAATATAAATGCAGAAATTAAATATTTGTTAGTGAAACAATAAATGCCCATGTTATGCCTTTTAATAGACAAGATCAGGCAAATTTGAGATAGACAGAATTATGAAACTCCATCTGTTATTAAAAGGGGAAAAAGTAAAATTATCTAATGGGCACTACTTGAGATTGGCTTTTATGTTTAAGGGTTAATATGGAATGATAGCTCAATCATTTAGATCTTGTGATCTCATTATCAGACAACATAGCAGAGTGCTCTTTCTTTTTCTAATAACACTTAAGTATAGCATCTATTTGAGTTCAAGAGGACTAGTTACAGACTTAGATCTTTCTAAAGGGCCTTGGGACCTAGATTGTCTTGTCACTTTGCTAAATCTTGTTTGAAAAACTAAAGCTTCAAGATGATTTAAGAAATACTGTTTCATAATTCTTTGACATTAAATCAAACTATCTCAGGAGAAGCTCTGGTGAACTTTAAGAGAACGGGTTTATTCAACAAACCAGGAATGTTGCTTGCCAAATTGTTTTTCTGAAGCTTTTATATGACAAAGAGGAATTCTGGTATGCAAATGTCACATCAACGTTTCAGTGGTAAAAATACAGTAAGAGCTTTTTGCTTAATAATTTCCACAGATTATATGAAGGTTTGTATTTTCAAACTTCAACTTGAAAATTAACTTAGGAATTAGAATTTTGTTAAAGTTATGTATTTTTACAAATTTAAAAAAAAAATTCCAGGCAGCCTGCTGATTATGTGAGATAGGAGTATTATTTTATATATTCAACAGATTGTAGGAAGTGATGTTTACGTCATGGCTAGGTTAGTATTTCTTTTGACTATGATATAGCTACTCTGTAATTTAAATATTGTTATTTGATTCCCTTCTGGTACTGAATGAATCCTTTTGGAGATAAAAATAGTGGGGCAAGAAAAAAAAGTAACATCTAGTTAGTTTATTTTGGAGGTTCTTGAAACCTTTCATTTAATAATTTTTATCTGAAATCTGCACGATACATAGATTTATTCTTGACAGTAAGGCACATGTTCTGTGATTTAAGTCTCAAGTGCTACAGCAAAACAGAACTAAAAGAATGGAAGAGATTTATCTTTTAAGGCGGAGTGCTCTAGACAATATAACAATTGCTGGCCCACAACAAAGCTGAGATTTTGGGTTGTGAAAGCCAGCCAAGGAAACAGGATTCCTAACAATTATGTCTTTCAAAGTAGAGTATGGGGAGTTTCTAGGAAGCTGACACTCAAGGTGAAGGTCCAGTCACTGCTTAGTCTGTGGGACTCTCTAAATAGCATCTCCCATTTACATAAAAATGAAGGAGGCTGAGCGTAATGCCTTCAGTGGACTGAAATTCAATGGGACGTTAAAGTAAGTAGCTTTACACAGAGGGCAGACAGTGGAATGGTGAAATCAAAAAGTGTGAGTAGAAGAAAGAAAGCACCAGATATAGCAACTAAAAAATACCCAGCATTTTATGGAGGACAATATGTTTGAGTGTTTAATGCTTAATATACTAATGTTTAAGCAAGAGGGAAAAAGTTATCAAACACTACAAAAGTTTAGTGCTACGTGCTTAATTATGTCCATATTGACATTCTCTCTGTTGGTCAAATACTTGTTCATTTTAGCCACTCAGCTTTTACCTGAAATAACTTTTATTTGATTTCTTAAAGCTGAACTACTGAGATGCTCACTTTACAGATACGACTTAGAGTAGAAAGTTCGTAATTTTTCCCATTTTGTTATGGTAATGGAATTGCTTAAGAATATGCAAGTTATGTACTGTCCTCTCCCACCTCCTATCCTGTATCTCAATTAAAGAGGGAGAGCATTTAAATCAATTCTAGGTAACTCAGAGGAGGAACTAACTTAATTCACCGACAAACTGAGCTAACTAATCACCAGGGAAAGAAAGACTGCTGGTACAGGCTTCCAAAATACTAATTCACTACTGTATTCACTACTGTCATACCTATCTGCAAGGCACCAAAGAAAGAATAAAATGTTTCCCTTTACTACTGTGATTTTTTAGATGCTGTCTTCCATAGGTTATATTCACACTAAATTGTAGGAATACATTGTGCAAATATGGTCAGCAAAAAGATTCCATGACATTTAGCAACAAAGCAGCTGTTAAGTCATACTAGAATTAAAAGAAATCTATCAAAAAAAACCCCAATAACAAACTTGTTTTAGAAGATGTAAAGTTGGTGTATTAATGCTCTCTAACCTATTCCTATCAGATGGCAAGATGGTTTGATTTGTTAAGGCATAAAGAATGCCCTGGTTGGTAGCAAAATATACACCATCACTTCCTGACTGCAGTGAAGAGACAGATTCTGTTTTAGGACATTAAAAATCTAAATTATGTTTTTGCTCCTGTGACTAACTGTAACATGAAGCATTTTAATGTTCTCTTCCGATGCATGTCTCCAACTAGGCAATGACCTCTTTAGGAAGAAGTCAGAGATAAAGATACATCTACAGCTTGTTCCTGAGGACATGTTTGTGAGGGGGTAATGCTTCTTGCTTTAATAGACAGACTTACTTTAGTAGGTCATTTAATCTTAATGGTGTCCCAGTATAGCTTTTAATTATTTAATGAAGAAAGCAGATGAGTGGGTGGAGTGAAAGGCTTTCTGCAGTCCTCACCCTGAAGAATAACATCACATCCTTGTATCCTCTCTAGTTTTGTTCTTGTTGGTTTTTGTTTGGTTTGGTTTGATTGTTTTTGTGAAATTCCATATAGTACATAATGACTCTTGTCTTCCTATTAGAAAACAGCCACAAGACAGGCACAAATAAGTATTTCTGGTAGAATCAGACTTGTTAGCACTAAGACGAAAGTGGTACTTTTAAACTTCAGAATTTATCTTGGACATATATTGAAGCTAATAGGTTCTGAGCATCACTGTCTTATTCAGCTGTTTGATTTTTGTTTACAAGGAGACAGTGTTGGAAACAGCACACACACACAGAGGAAGAGTCTAAAAATTCCAGTCATATAAAGTCACTATTTCCATGTAGCTTCCTTGCAAATTACTTAAGAGGCATATGAGATACTAAAATTAGTTGCAAACTTAACGCATGTTCATAATATTATCAGCTATTTAGTTGAAGAGGAACACCAATAAATGAACAAATTTTTCTTTCTAAAAGACAAATCAGTACACCTGCAAGTAGAAAGCCTCCCTCCTACATGTCAAAGGCTCCTTTCAGTGTGAAGGGCTCAGTATATAAATTACATATATTTAATCTGAATTGTTTTGCTAATAAAATACTTTTGATGCAATTGTTTTAGATTTACAATTAAAAGAGAAACAAAGGGAAGTGTTTTATCTATGCTGGAAAAAAAAGTATAATTTTCACAAACCAGATACTACCTTGACAGTTGTTCATACTTACACTGAAAGGCCAATACCATAGAAGAGTATGATCACAACACCAATGGATAAAGATAATGTGCTGGGAAAGGGCCAGTGTAGTTTCTGTGAAGGGAGATAATGACACTATCACAGACTTCTAGCAGGTTTGTGAGTCAGGAAGTGCATGGACAAGGACAAACCAGGGAACATACTTGTATTTTTAAAGAGCATTTGTGCAGTTTTCTTACTACAAGTTGTCAAACAAAATTTTCCTGGAATTGATGTAAATGTCCTATGCTGAGTTGGAAATGGGGCTGAAGGATGGAAGCAGAGAGTACTTTTGGTTACTTTCTCAGGTGGAGAAAAGTCAGCAAATCTCTCTCCCAGAAATGTTTGGGCTTACTTATGTTGTTTTATGCAACAATCTTTGATTTTCATTAATAACTCAGAAAAGGGAATGCACACAGAATGACACTTGTAGGATGTTAAACTCTTTCAGGTAATCGGGTGCTTCAGAACTTCCGAAGGCCTCACAAAAGGGGGTGGGTAAAAAGATAGGCTTTGAGAACTAGATCAGTGTAAGGTAAAGCATAGAATCACCTATCAAACTTGGAAGTCTAAGTTCATGAAATCTTGAAGTTGCTGATGTCAGCTCTCTGAAATCTTTGACTGAAACTGCAACAAAAAAACCCCAAAAACAAACAAACAAACAAACAAACAAACAAACACAAAAAAACCCCCAAAAACTTAATACCCTAACCCTAAACAACAGAGATGTAAGAGAGATGTAAGGTGTCATCAGGAAGACAAAAGGCAGTTTGCTGCTCTGAGGGAAATCTCAATGTACTCATATCTTGAATACAGTGCACAGTTCTGGTCTGTAAGAACACAACAATTTTAAAGAATGAATTGAGAGAGATAACTAAAATGATTCAATGGGAGAGATTGTCAATCTGATAAAGTAGGGACTAAAAGGCCCTTGTCACTGCAGTCTTCTGTTTTCACACAATGTTTTTTACAGACAGAAGGCTGTGAGAAGAATACTGCTGTGTAAGGGTGTTCTTTGACTATGTTCATCATTGTCACTCAAACACTGAGATATGGAAAGTGTCTTCAGCACACACAATGTGGAGCACAAGTCCTTTGGTGAGCAACAGAAGGAGTGGGGTTCTTTAGTCTGGGCAAAAGGAGGCTGTGGGGGTCTTATTGCTCTCTATACCTGCCTGAAAGGAGGTTATAGTAAAGAGGGGATCACTCTTCTTTCAAGTAACAAGTATCAGGAAAAGTGGAAATGGCTTCAAGGTTGTGCCAGTGGAGGTTTAGGATGTTAGGAAAAATTTCTTCACTGAAAGGGTGGTCAAGCACTGTGACAGGCTCTCCAGGGAAATGGTGGTATGAACATCCCTAGAGGTATTTAGAAGACATGTAAGTGTGGCACTTGGGGGCACGGTTGTGTGGTGGACTCGGCAGTGCTGAGTCAATGGTTGGGCACAGAGATCTCAAAAGTGTTCTTTAACCTTAAATATTTCCATGATTCTGTGTAAAAGATCTGGTCTTGGAAGTTCTGTGGCACTGGCATTTCTTATATGCCTTACCGCAAGCAAAATTATTTATTTTGCACAAATATTTTTAATCTTTCCCAAGTATGCTGTTTCTGTAAGTAACACAACTTTCCTACACTTCCAGAACGTTGCAAATCCCCTAAAATTTAGAGAGTCTGCTTAGAGTCACCAGTTCCATGAGAGATGCGACACTTCTCGTGGGGAAGGCTGAGCCTGCCCTCGGGACACAGGCAGGGCTGGCAATCTTTCCGGGTGGGACTGCGTGGGAAGGGGGGTGGGTGCGTGTCGCCCCTGCCGCAGGCAGAGCCTTGGCTGCCGGCGCTTCCCGCGGCGGCGGCGGACGGGCGCCCTCCGCAGGGCCGCGGGCGGCACTGCCGAACCCAGGCGGGCTAGGAGAGGACGACCGAGGAGCCGCCTCTAAATTGCCGATTCCCAAATCGTGAAGGGTCTTGGTGCAGGCAGGAAACAGGGCGGAGCGTGCCTAGGGGGGTCCCGTTATTCAGCGCCCTGTCCCGCTCCGAGGAGCGACCGCCGCTCCTGGCGTCCTGATCAGGCGCTGGAAGTGGTGATATTGTACCTGCTCCATCAGAAAAACGGACCACAGCGGAGCCGTCTCAGCGCCCCGGTTGCTTTCACAGGCATGCGCTGGGTTTTGCAATTTCAATAGCAGTGTTAAGAGAGTTCAAAAAGTATTTCAGTTTTCTGCTGCTTTGTAAGTATCCCTGCAGACATCTGCAAGTGCTCCACTGGGAAAGGATGTGTTCCCCAACCTAAGGCTTTATACTCCATGAACTCAGACAGCAATGTGGGATTTGAAGGGAAATTATTTAATCTGCATCAAAAAGTTGTATCTTGACTCCAAGTCGGATACTTCTCAATACAAAATTGTCAGACAAACCTTCTGCTCTTTTATGTCTCTACTTTTTTTTTTTTTTTTTTTTTTTTTTTTTTTTTTTTTTTTTTCCCAGAAGGGAAAAAAAAATCCCTGGAAAAAGTCACTGGGAAAAAAAAAATACTAACAAGGGGAGTTTGGGGGCCTGAAAAGTGATTTGTATGTAATAGTTCTGGTTGGGCTGATGTAGTCTGTATTAGAAAATGAGGTAGTTTAGTACTGAATAAAGATAAGGCATGCTGAGTACAATATATTAGCAAGTTCAGAAAGCTTGAGGGGACCTTCTGAGAAATTTAAACCACTAGTTACAATGTATTGGCTAACAGTCTTGTCAAAGTGTATTTTTCACACTAGGCGAAGCTGTGGGTATATTTCAGAAGGTCTGTTAAGTGTGATTTGTGTTTTTTAAATCATAATCCTCTAAAACTTATGCTGTCCTGATGAGTCAGGGGAAAGTTCTTCCGGAGGGTGGTCAGGCACTGGAACAGGGTTCCCAGGGTAGGGGTCACAGCACCAAGCCTGCCAAAGTTCAAGAAGGGCTTGGACAACGCTCTCAGGCACATGGTGTGACTCTTGGGGATGGTGCTGTGCAGGGCCAGGTGCTGGACTCGATGATGCTCATGGTTGATTCTTTTCAACTTATTCTATGGTTCTACAATAAATGAAGTCTTTTAGCTGCAGTGACGAGAAGAAACCACGTTTACTTTTCTGTTTGCGTTTTCCTGTAAGGGCCCCCCTCAAACTCTTGCACTCACTGGAGCAAGAGCAAAGTGACTTATGCTACTTTTTCTGCTCTTTCTCCTCAGTTAAGCGGCTTTATTCCTTTTTTTTTTTTTTTTTTTTTTTTTTTTTTTTTTACGACAATCCTTTAGTAATTCGCCGTTTTGGGCAAGCGTTTGCCTCAGTCGCCCACGGAGCGCTCATCAGCGGGAGCCGGCCCGGGCCGGCCCGGGCCCACCCTCAGCCCCGGCCGGGCCGGGCCGCGGGCGCTGCCCGCGCGGGCCGGCAGGGGGCGCTGCTGCCCCGCGCTGGCCGCGCTCGCTCCCCTCGGCGGTTCTATTGGAGCAGCCGGAGACGAGTTGGCGCCATTTTGAAGCCGGCAGGGGGACCGGGGCGAGCTGCGGAAGGGGAGGGGGCTGGCGGCGATTGGCTGCGGCGGCGGCGGCGGCAGCGCCTCTCCGAGCCCGGAGCGGCGGCAGCGCGGAGCGGACCCGCCTGCGACCAGCGAGGCGAGGCGGCTGCAGCGGGGTAAGGAGCGCGGCACCTCGGCCGCAGGTACCCCCACCCCGTCCCCGCTCCATTTTTCCTATCCGGGGGTGTGAGGGACGCCCGCCCGGACCCAGCTCCGCGGCCGGCGCTGGAGGGGGACGGGCAGCAGAGGGGGAGCGGGAGGGCAGAGCTCCCCCTGGCCCGTGGTGGAGCTCCCCCTGGCCCGTGGTGGAGCTCCCCCTGGCCCGCGGTGGAGCTCCCCCTTCCCATCCCCCTCGCCCCTCCGCGGGGCTGCTCCCCTCCCCCCTTTTCCGTGGCCGCCGTTAAATACTAAATTTCCCCCCCCTCCCGCCCGACGCCCCGGGCGATGGGGTGACCTTGGCTGGGGTGCGCGGGGGCCCGGGGATCACCCCCTCGCCCCGGTGGCCCGGCGGGCGCTGTCGCGCCCGGCGCTGGTGGCTCCTCGCGGCGCGAAGTGGCGGGGAGAGGGGGTGGGGAGGCTGCTCGCCCGTGGCTATGAGTGACTGAGTGAGTGATCGCGGCTTCCCGGGTGTCCCTTTCCTCCCTGCCCCGGGCGTCCCCTCCCTCCCTGCCTGCCCCGGGCAGCCGGCCTGGTCCCCGCTCCGCGGGGCTCCCGCCGCCAGGCGCGCCTGCTGCCCGGGCTGAGCGCGGGGACATCCCCGTCCCCTCCCCGCCCGCTTCGGTCTCTCCGCGCCGCACTTCGCAGTGCTCCTCAGCGGGAAGAGCTGCCGGGGACCGCGGTTTGCTGGGTCCCTGCTTGTGTGCGAGCCTGGTTCTTTCACGCTGGCTTAGCTTTTTTTTTTTCTTCTTCTTTTTTTTTTTTTTTTTTTTTTTTTTGCCCCCTTCCATTCCTCCTCTTTCTTTTTCCCTCCCACTTTGCATCAGGCTCTGTTAGGAAGCGCTCGGGAAGGGAGAACGGGGGGGAGCTGTGGGGGGGGGGGGCGGTTGCCGCCGCCTGGTAGATGGAAAACTATGAATTTTACATCTGAATTGCCAGATGGAGAATGGTTAATTTATAGGTCATGTATTGTTTACGTTGAGAGCCTCCGGTCAGGAATTTCGGTCCGTAACTTCATCCTGCTGCAAGTAAATCACTATCTGTTCTTTAAAACAAATAAACAATTAATGACGGTGAACAGTCCTGGAAATTAAACTGCAGCAGACCGGCTCCTACAGAGCTGGATTTTGTCTTGCTAGCCTTATTCCGACTTTTATGCTTGCTAGCTGCGTGGTTGCTTTCTGAGAGCTTTGATTATTTAGTTAGGCGTTGTGTTTTCCCGTTTAATATAACTGCTGAAGCGTTCTCGTGTTGGTCTTTGTTTTGTGCTTGCCGGGTAGGTGCTTTAGCTGTAATTGATTTCGCTGGGGATGGAGTAGAAAGAGCATTGAAAATTTTAGTGGTTTTATAGTTGAAAATGAGCATCAAATCACGTTTTGGGAAGGGAGTAAGATGACGTGCATTCTTTCAGGTTTTCCCATTTTAAACTAGTGGAGTTGTTCAGTTTTCAGGTGGTAGAAATTTTGCCTGGTATATTTTTTATGTTAGATATGCTAGCCATTATACTGTGTAAAGTAACTCCTCAAAAAGAAGTGGAAGAGCTGAATGTATGCCATGCTCAGACCACCTGAAAGAAGACTGACAGTGACAGGCCATCAGGTAAGGTGGTTTAGCAGAGGTGTGTGTATCATGTTCATCACAGCGTTTGAAACGGTTCACTGCTGGAGAAAGTAGTTTAGTACTTTAGCACTTGCATGACATCTTGTGTCTGTGTCTGAAGCAAGGTTGAACTTAATTACTGTAGGGTTGGGGGTATGATGTGTCTGGGTGGAGTGTGGTGTTTTGTTTGGGATTTTTATATACATACTATACTGTAGTATTTGCCTATGCATTTCTTGCATCCTCTTTACTAGTTAGTATACAGATTGGATAAACTACGGTTCAGCTTTTGATAAAACAACTAAATAAATTAAAATGGAAAATCATATTTTTAGTACTTGCATACAACTTCTTTTTTTCTCTTGTAAATAATGAATTTAGACTTTATCTAACATACTTAATTATGGACTGAAATTGAGCAAGTCACCTAAGTCATTATTAAATTGTAATTAACCATATAAAAGCCAACAGTCTATTGCTAGCATTTGGAAAAGCACAGTAATGAAATATGGGCATAACCTCAAGCGTTATCCATGTGGTTTCTTCTCACCTGTAGAACAGGAGGTTCTGTTGCCTTCTATAAATTGGGAGAGATGCATTTTCTTTTGGGAAGTTGCTCTCTACCAAGCTTTCAGTTTATGCCTTTTTCCTCTTTCTTCACTCATTCACACAATTTATAGCTTTACAGAAGAGTAAGAGGGTGTATGTGTATGTATGGGTATGAGTCTTCTGGTTTAGTAAAGGATTTTCATTTAAAGGTGTTTGGTGTTAATGGTTTTTATTTCTTTAAACCTGAATTGGGAGAGGTGATAAAGACTACTTGTTGCACAAGGAGAATTTTCATGGGAGCAACAAATAAGAAATGTGAAGCTGAACAGTAAAAGCATGCAAAATTTGAGATGGAAGGAAAACGTGATACTGCAATTAATTATTTTTCCCTATTGGTTTCACTCTAATATCCTCTCCCTTTATAGTGCTTGCCCCTAATATTATGCCAAGAAAGAGGAAGGTATATCTTTCCTGCTGCCTTCAGAGAAGTTCCTTTTTAGAATCAAAAAGTAGTTCTGATATTTGGAACATTGTCTTACCACATGTCAGTATCATTCTTCTTTTAACACCTATCTAAAGTAATGGTGTTTTTACTCTTAACACAAAATATCAGTACTGAACCTGAAATAATCTTTGCATAGACTGAGAGAATACTGGAGGCTTTCAGTCAATTCTAAAACTAGGTGGTAAGGGAAAACTGAGGAAACTTTTAAAAGGGTTGTTAGTGTGATAGTGCTTAGTGGTGAAGTGTGTTAATTTTCCAGATCTGTAGACCCTCTGGAGCATCTGAACAGCACTGATAGATCTGGGAAGGAATCAGGGCTTTTAAAGAACTGTAAAATATATGCTTTTAAAAAGATTTTCTTTTCATCAGAGACTGAACATCTAAAAGTCAAGGCTATGCATGTATATAAATTACATACCTCTTGCTTTACCATTGGTAGCCTCTTCAGTTGAATGTAGTCTTGTAGAAAAGCTGAGATGTTTTTTATCTGCTTACCTTTGTTACTAAGAACAGAACTTAATATAATTCTGTAAAGGAAAGTAAGAAAAATTTATGAAAAGTGAAACGTATGAATGAAAATTAACTTTGTTATTTTAGAAAGTTAGTGGTTTGTTTCAAAACCTCTTTGGAACATTAAGAATTTCAGAATAAAAAAAAAAGCCGTTTATGTTAATATTTGCTGTAACAAATCCAAATTAAAGAATTAAATGAAATACAAGTAATATTTTAATTTCTTAGAATCTAAATGTTAACACCTCCATTATTTTTAAAGGTTGTTACTGTCTGTCTCAGTGTATAATGCTTTTCAGCCTTTTCTAAAGTGTGAAGAAGTCTTCGAAGTAAGTTCTGAGAGTTAAGACCTTTATTACTTTGTCCCCATCTGTGGAACTTGCTCTTTTGCATCTGACCGCAAACACTGGAAAAACATTCTGCTTGTTTAATACTTCCTGATCTTTGGTTCTATTTTTTCAGCTCACAACAACTTAGGTATTAATATGCTTCAAGAAATAATAATTTAAGAAGTGCCATACCTCATTGGGAACAGATGGGGATGTTTGTACTAATCATCTTGTGTCTGTCACCATTTATATGGGAGTACCGTAACTAGGGATCAGGACCCCATCTGGGGTTTTCTAATTCAGACCCTGGTCTTTAAGGATCGGTTCCAGACAATACTGTGTGTACTTTTCCTCTGACTTAATTAGGAATCCTAGTGAATGTTTCTGCTGCTGAAATTAGATGCTTCACTTTCGTGCTTTTTAATGGACAAAAAAAAAAAAGACTCAAAGTTAGCAGTCAAAAATGTTATTGTCTTAATTGCTTCCATTGTAGTCACCTAAACTACAAATTCATAGAACACAGAATGATCTGGGTTGGAAGGGACGTTAAAGATTATATGGTTTCAACTGCTATGCCATGGACAGGGAACCTTCCAGTAGACCAGGTTGCCCAGGGCCCCATCCAACCTGTCCTTAAACACTCCCAGGGATGGGGCATCCACAGACTCTGTGGGCAGCCTTTTCCACTGTCTCACTACCCTCAGAGTAAAGAACTTTTCCCCAATATCTAATCTAAGCCCACTCTCAGTTTGAAGCCAATCTCTCTCATCCTGTCATTGCATGCTCTTGTGAAAAGTCCATCCATCTTTCTTGTAGGCTCCCTTCATGTACTGGAAGGTCACAATTAGGTCAGCCTTAAGTCTCTCTTCAATCCCAGTTCTCTCAGCCTTTCCTCATAGGAGAGGTGGTCCATACCTCTAATCAACTTTGTGGCCCTCCTCTGGGCTTGCTGCCTGATGTCCTTCCTGTGCTGGGGACAGGAGTCTGTAACCCTTTTCTACATTTATTATTTGATTATTTGATCCAGCTAAAATGTGATAACTTAGGAAGTGACTCTTGAGAAGTTGGTTGTCCACAACTTCTGCCAAAGCAGCCTTTGGTTCTCTCTGAGACATCCCAGTATATCCACATAGTAGCTCTCTTCAGTGTCAAAAACCTTCATCCTGAAAGTCTTAGAAAGAAAAGCAACCAATAAAAAACTACTGAAAGGAAAAAAAAAACCAACCAACTAAAAACCTAAGTAAGTAAGTAGAAACATACTGCTCATGAGGAAGTCCTGAAAAAAATGAAGATCAAAACTTCTTGTATGTAATCTTTGGGCCACCTTGAGTTTGACTGTTCACTTCTGTTCATACTGCTTTGTCACTTACATGTACATTCCAGTGAAGACAATCTGATTTCTAGGAAATCTTTGTCACTATCACTACATATGTTAGGTTTTTGTTCTTAACAAAAAATAATTGAATTG